CTTTTTCGAATTGTATCATTCATTGTAAAAGCGCCACAGAGCGGCTGTTTCCATTTGAATTTTGGCGCTATATAAGTTTAACAAACCAACATTGAGGCCGATGTCCCCCGCCGAAATCCCAAAATAAATAGATGACACATATTAATTAATACTGTTTGAATGGCATTTAGTAATTGAACACATTAAAATAAACACAACAGTTCTATGGATAACAATTACTATATTTAATTAAAGCTACGTTTCAACAATGATTCTCTTGTCGTTATCAAGCACAATTATCAAGTTAATCATTGTTGAAACGTAGCTTTAATTAAATATAATAATTGTTATCCATAGAACTGTTGTGTTTATATTAATTAATCTCACATTTATTTTGTGTCAAAAATATCAAGCAAACTGATTATCAACTATACATTAAGTTTCATCACGCTCTGTCAGATAGAATCAAAGTTATCTTATCCCAATGTATCATTGAACTCAGTCAAGACATTCATTGTGACCTAACGAACATCTATATCAAGTTTAAACATTCTACCTCAATTAAAAGCAGAGTTGTTATGTTCTAAAGTCTTCACCAATCAAATTGCTTATCCCTCATTAGTCTAAGCAGAAAATTCTCATCATCGAACTTAGTCAAGGTAATGATAATGAATCTATACTCGGTGTTTCATCACTCTCACTAATTAAAACCAGTTATTGTGCCAAAAGCATCAACCAATGAGATGGCTTATCCCTGCTTACCGTAAGCAGACAATGTTTATCATGGAACACCATTAAGGAATTCAACTATAAATGAACGCCTACACCAAGTTTGAACATTCTAGCCCAATTAAAATGAGAGTTATTGTGTTCCAAAGTTTCGACCAATCAAATTGCTTATCGCTCTGCTTACCCAGAGCAGAAAATGCTCACTATCGAACTTAGTCAAGGTATTGATGTAATTAAATTATACACCAAATTCCATCACTCTCACTTAATTAGAACTAAAGTTATCGTGTCCCAAAGCTTCAACCAATCAAATTGCTTATATGCTTACCCTTCGCAGAAAATGCTCATCTTCGAACTCCATCAAGGCATTAACCTAATTAACACCTATACCAAGTTTGAACATTCTAGCTCAATTAGGAGAGTTATTGTGTCCCAAAAAGTGTGACGGACAGACAGACAGACAGACAGACGAACGAACCCATTTTAATAGTCCCCTGCTTTCCTCGTAAATTATATATTGTAACATATTGTTATGTTTCCATTTTATCCAATAAGCAATTTATTGTCATTTCATGCCGAAAGATATGGTGTTAAAACGTGTATTGCCTTAAAGTCACCAAGGGCCTTCACTCTGGCAGTAATTATCGGAAATTGTTGAAAGACTTATTCGTCTCATGACCTTAAACACTGTAAATTTAAAGTCAATCCGATATTAACTTTGGCCCCTAAACCCTTAACAAGCAATTTTCCACAAGCAATTGTGGACGCCGGACCGGGACGACGGCAATATACGAACAAAATTGGGCGTATAAAAATTGTTTGCATCATTTTGGGGTAATCAGCCCAGTGGTGTGGGGTATATCGCCCAGGTATAGGCGCTATGCCCCGAGTAGTAGTGGGCTATTTGCCTCACTTCCACCACTCGCGCAAGTTTGAAAATGGCCGAATATTATCAATATAAATTCGATTTCTATATCTTTCATAGCTACCCAGCTACACTCGATAACACCCATCTATAAATTAAGAAAAAGTGACCCCAAATTTTTTTATTTCATTTCATTTCAGTCTGAGCAGAACAGTAGGACGTTAAACACCATTTCATTTCATTTTTGCTTAGCCTACCTGTCAAAATCGTGTAGGCCTACGTCTGATTATTATTACATCAATAAAACTAAAACGTACTACATGTAGTTGGTATCATGTGTTAAATCTAAGTGTCTCTGTTTTAGCAAAGTGAAATGAAATGAGGTTTAAAGTCTTATACTGTTCTGGGGCCTGTTTCACGAAATTTTAACTAAGATAAAATCCAAATTTTAGTAATTTGATTGGATAATATTTATAGAAGGGTATCGCTGCCAATATTAAATGCTCTGCGACAATGTCGTTTCCATTGATTATATGTAAAAAGTACAATGTACAAAGTCCTAATACCGATAGGCCTATTGATAAAGTCAAAATACCTTAAAGGCAAGAGTTAAATGTAAAACGTCAAATGTTAAGTGTTAAATGACAAATGTTTTGTGAGAAAATGCTTTTTTGACGTGTCTACATTTTACATTTCTCTCATTACATTTTACATTTGCGCTCTCTGTCACATCCCATTTGTCCTTCACGCTTTCTACATAGCAACTTTCGCACAACATCAACTTTCATATGCAAATGTAGGCTCATATAGGTTATAACGACGATTGGCAAAGCGCCCATAAACCAAGTGACATTGGTAAGGCGTCCCGCCAATCTCGTCGTCGATTTATTCCAGTCGAGAGGGGGGCCCTTGCCCACAGCTAACTACTGGCCTGACTGTAGCAAGACGGAAGACGTCGGTCGGTACAACCATTTTTATAGACCGGCTGGGGTCCAGTTCCTGATAGCCTACTGTAAAGTATGAGTAGGCCTATTAGGAGAGAGAGAGAGAGAGAGAGAGGGAGAGAGAGAGATGGGGTTTAACGTCCACTCGACACAAACTAGGTCATTTCGGGACTAACATATATGGTTTAATGTTTTAGTTCACTAATTCGCTTGCCCGTAGGGGTCTTTAGCAGTGGGAGGAAACCGGGGGACCCGGTGAAAACCCACGAGGTTGGACAGGCGACCCTACTCCTTGTCACGTACAACCGGGGAATCGAAACCACGCCAATTGACTACGCTAACCATTCAGCCATCCAACCCCACGAGTATTAGGAGACACAAATTAAAAGATTCTTTCAAACAAAACGCTTACAGTAAAATCTGCAATTCATATGCAATGATCCTACCTGCTCTAGTTTTCTGACAATTTCTATGAAATAAAAGTCAGAATGAAGCTGTTTATGTGAACTTAAGTGAAAAACATATTTTTTGGTTAACTTTTATTAATTTTCAGGAAAACACAAACCAAATTTTTAAGTGAAAATTGAAAAATATAAAAAATTAACACTCAAAAAAGAAGTTTGATCTTTTTTATACAAAAACCTATCTGTGCATAAAACATAATATGACTAATCTATGATGTCATGCATAGTTACCACAAGATGTGATGTCATAATACATAGTTACCACAAGATGTGATGTCATACACTGTCACCACAGGATATGACCTCACCAAACTAGTCTGCTAATTACTAAGAGTATGAATGGAAAAGGTATGGATTTTATTGCATTACCTATGCCTAGATCAAACACGGGTGAGCCTAATTTTTATTCTTTAACAATGAGAAGAGAAATAACTTGGCACATTATCATGAGCATCTCTATAAATAGGAAAGATAAAGGGTCACAACTCGAGCATCTTGAGCGTTCACACAAAACTTCATGTAAAATTAAAAAAAAACAAAAAAAAAACAACAACAAAAAAAAAACCCAACGAAAAAACCCAACAACAAACATCACCTTGTGTTCTCTTTTATTAAGAATAAGATCGAAGAAAATATCTATTGATTCAAAAATAAGAGATAGGCCTACCACATAATGGACAATCATATACTATAGATCTACTTTGATCTTATCATTTTTGTGGGAAGCAGCAAGTTTTGTTTATCTATTGTATGGCCTTAACCTAAGTTGTAACCTATACCCGTACACCCGCTGTTGTCACTTATACCCGTTGTTGCATGCTTTCGTGTTTTGTTTCCCGAACTTCGATGGTTTAATGATAAAGGTAATATAATAAACACTATTAAAAAATTAACACACCTTCACGATTTTACCCTTGCCTCAAAAACTTATTCGAGGGATAAGTTACTCTTTTTGTTAAATACTTTTTATAATATTAGACAAAGTCAAAGTAATACTTTTTTTAAAATCAATGTTTAAAACCCATTTATTTTATTAGCTTTTTTTGTAAGCCGCTGGGCACAGGTACCGGTACTGTGAAGTCCCAGAAATATAGCATGCTTATTATAGCCTCTATATAAACAAGCGTTCCGAGTGATGGATCGACTGGTCGACATTTTTGTAGTTAAGTATATTGAATTAAATGGGCCTATCAATATTATTTTAGATCTACAGTAAAATTACGTCAAATCGGTTTTTGGCCCCATCCGAACGACTAGACATGGCCCCTGCCGGGCCTCCTGTCCTGCACCACTGACAATGAAGAATCACAGCGGAAATACCCGAGGTACTTTCTCGGCCAAAATCGAGAAACATGGTAGCCTTCGATTTATATCATTATACTTCGAGATAGTTTCCTAAAGTTTCTTAAATGAATGGGTGTGTTAAAAATACCGAAATAGCTTTGCTTTCATTTTTAAAACATTGTAGCCTCTAATTTATATTATTAGGCATATTATTATTATTATTATTAAAGTCCTAAATTGCAAATCTATTGATAATTCCGAAATTGCGTGGGTTTATTTGATACACAATATCTTTATGTACATTTATTTAAACGAAATCAGCGTTGTTGTAGCATTTTGCAGCATCTCCCCGTATTATAATATGCATTGCAATAGAAACAATACAGTTTGCAAGCTCAGTAAACTTGACGCGTGACAAGGAGGAGGGTCGCCTGTCCAACCTCCTGGGTTTTCTTTGGGTCTTCCGGTATCCTCACACTGCTATAGACCCCTACGCGCAAGCAAATTATTGAAATGATTGAACCATATGTTAGTCCCGAATTGACCTAGTTTGTGTCGAGTGGACGTTAAACCTCATTTCTCCCCCTCTTTCAGTAAACCTGACGTAATAATCCACAATATCAGAAACGACGCGATCTAGCCACATTGAATACTACTGCAGGTCAGGAAGACGTACGGACGTCTTGATGACCTGGACTAGGGCAACGTTAAACCATGGTTAAACAAAGAAATAATACCAGCACAGTCCAGAATGGAATCGTCCAAGTGTGGCTTAAACTAGAGCACAGTCAATCTATGGTAGTTTCATTCAAGGTTGTTAACGCAGAAGACTCGAGTTAAAAGATAATCCGTTAAATGATAATTTATATGGGCTGTGAATTACTAAATTTCAAGGTAAGGGACGTCATTTAAAAATATTGCTTATTTTTATACTTGATTTAGAGAGGAAAATTATTGACATGAGAACGTAACATACGTTGGCTAGCTACGCTATTTTTTTTATTGTGGCATGGAAAATATCGATATTTTTATAGGATATATAATATTTATTTGGAATAATGAATGATATATAAAAAGATGGATAAATCGTATTTGGATTAAATCAGTCTATACCAAGACTTTTTTTAAAAAAGACTTTTTGTTAATTTCAATTAAGAAAATACTCGACAGTCTGACCTATGATTGAAATCGCATAGGCTTAGCTAACATGTCATAGTGCACATGTTTATGGAAAATTCCACGCGCGCTCGGCTCAAAGTGTGCTAACGGTATCTATTACTGTCGCCTTCTGCTGGTGTGCTCACGTAGGTACATTTTATTCTCGTTTGCATTTTTATTTGGCGTTCATTTTTTTTTTACATTTTTCCTTTCCCCACTTCATTTAAAACTGTTTATATGCATACGTACACATGTACATGTATTGCATGAGCCGGATTCAGACTATACGATATTTTGGATGCTTTTCTTTCCATGTTTGAATGATTTGAATGAAGTGTCGTGAAATCATACCGATTGATTAATTATGTACCACAAACTGGCATAAAGATTCTTATGGTTACCGTTATTCTTGTTGAGATAAGTACACGCAATCGCGGGTAAATTGCACGTGAATTAGAGGTCAAGGTTGTTGAATGATAATACGTGGGGGGAAAGTGATAGCAGCAAGTACACGTGGTTGGACATTCAACCCAACCGGTTTCTTCGTCCACTTTTAGCATGGAGAAAACATAGACATAGTGGGAGAAACAAAACTCTAGTTTAAAAATAAAAAGTATGATCATCTATTATTATTAACCTTTGTTCGTCGTAGCCTACTGCAGTGACGTAATAATACAGTTTCAATAGATCTTGATGGTAGTGCCGTAATGGCAGCCTTTAAAGCTCACCGAAACGGCCATATTTTGTGTGTAGTCCTTCGAAGTAAGTGAACCATTCCATGCATGATGTATTTAGAAATCAATTGATTTGAAGACTATTTCTTCGTGTTTAAAAATATCTCAACAATTAATACTTGCGATGAATGTTGGTCAATCGTATATGGTCCGACAAGGAGTAATTTCTGATTTAAAGAGGGCATTTCTTTGGAGTTATTTTACTAAGACTAGACGATGAAATGCATACTAGTTAACAGCTTCATTCATTGACACGCTATTTGTACGCCAACATGACTAAAGTCATCTTGGGATTGATGATAATGTACTTTTTAATGTTAAAATTTGAAGATGGTCTAAATAACTCACCTTTATTTATTGAATTATTTGTTTAGGGTTCCTTAAAAGTTATATTTTGATGTAAAGGCAATTTTTGAAATTAATGCTAACAAGCTTTCAAAGAAATTTTGGTTGTAATAGGCTTAAGCACATTTTGGCCAATGCTTACTAGTTTTTATTGCCATTTGAACATGTTTGGACTTTGGATTGCATGGTAATTCAAATTTTCTGTAATCTTGGTACTATTTTTAGCATTAACATTAACCAGTAAGTAATGGTCTGTAGGTGTTATATGTCATGTCAAAGTATTGATAAATTAATGATGCCGCTTACTTCCCCTTTCCTCAGAGGGTTTAGAAATACTAGTACTGTATGAATGTTTGCCCTTCAGAGGGTTCAGTAGTATGAATGTTTACCCATGGGGTGCTTGAGGTTCTAGGTGACCTGTACATAATATATTTTCCTGATTTGTTGAAACAGATTATAGTCAAAACATACCAATTTAGAGCAGGTTACAAGTTGAGAGTTCAGGGTTAAGTTCATTTTTGCTTAGAAGTGCAATTCTCATGGGGAATTTCCACTGTCCAAGTTTATGTATGATATTACCAGTTATAAACCATATTTTATTTTTTGTGGTGCACCTAGCCACTCATAGGTTAAATAAATAGTAGTAGCATGATCCATTTATTAAGAAAAGACCTTTTATGATAATTTCATTAATTAAAACCTCGTGAAATGCTTGTCACAAACAAGAGAAAATGCCCTGATAGAATTGGCGCAGTAATAAACTGTAGAATATTGATCATTGAGTTATGCATAGATCCATAAAGAGGCATAATGAATTCAAGACAATAATTTAGTTATGGTATTGGTTTGCATAATAGATGGTTTGATAAGAGTAAATAAAGGGCGAGGATTTAGTAGTGCATTACAAACGTGATGAATAGCATATAGATAGGCAATTCAGTATTATGTTCTGTCATAGGCAATTCAAAATGATCTCGCTCTCTTATTTGTCTGAACTTTTGACAAAGGATAAACCCAAAGGTACCCTAAGACCGCATAATAAAAACATATACCGGTATTTAAACTCTCTTATCCAGAATAGAAACTGTATTATGAATGTTTTGATTGACAAAAGACTTCTTAAATGTTATGCATTGAGCATGCATAAAGGGATGTTTTAATGAGCGTATTCTATTATTAATAATGTCCAATTGGTAGAAGTCAGAAATGCAGAAAAGAAAACGGTAGACTATATAAAATCCTTACATATCACTAATATTTTGCCTCATTTTGCCTCAGTTCTCATTTTATCATCCAATACTTTTTGCACAATGTGCAGTGATTAGATTTACCGTACAGTTCTGGTTAAAATTATGATATTGTTTGATTTGTATTACTAACAGAACTTCAGCTCCCATTGCTAGTTGTTTAGTTGTTAAAAGAAAATTGTCTCTTTCCACTGGTTTAAATTGGCCAGACAGGTCATTTTGGAATGTTAATTATTATGAAAAATTTTGTGAAAGATTTTATATCTGATCTTCACAATCCTATCTTTGATGTTTTATCTTTAAAGAAAATGATTAAATAAGTACATTATTAACTAGTATTTTCTACAATCCTCACGATCTTATCTTTGAAGAAAACAATTTAAATAGGGCTGGCTGAAAAGTTCTAAGCCTGAAAAGGATAGATCAATTGGGTTGAAAAAACTTTTTTGTCACCAGCACCAACAAGTACCATCAATGAATAAATCATAGTCATAAGAACTGCAACTTATAATAAGTTAATTAGTATTTTCCACAATGGTATTGGTACCATTCGAAATAAAGGATGAAACCTGAAGAATGGAACAATCCAAGAGGGCATGAATACAAGGGTCACTGGTGGGAGCAGCATTGAAAGATGAGGTGATTCAGTGAGTAAAGATCTGCCTCACTAACCAGGAGGTTCGGGGTTCGATCCTGGTGTTGTCAAAAAAGTTTCCCAGTTGGAATTCAATATAATAACAGTAGGTTGTAGCACCGCTGTCGGGACAAAATTTCCCTCATAGCACACTGTATGGTGTACATGTCTTCATTAGCCCAGTCCGTACAGAAAAGTATGACATTAATAAACTCCATGGTAGCAGCATTGTTAAATTTAACAAAGTATTTAGTCAACTATGTACACTGGTTGCTTTGGTATATTTTAGATGTCTTAGTGACATATTTCCCGAGTTAAAAAAAAAACCTTGCATTTTTGGACTGTTCACTTTGACCCTTGATATTTACATTGATACATCCAACAAAAATAACCTAGGTAGATATGGGACACAAACAAAGACAGAAATGTTATTAATTTTATCTTACTGTATTTTAAAGATGCAGTATGTAAGATTTAGCCATTCTTCATTAGGGCAGACTCTGGTATGCTAACCTCAGCTGTATGACGTTAAGTGATATGTAGCTACACCCATAAATTGTGATGCGGCTACCGGTGTACCTATTAGGAAAACTTGACGCTTTTAGAAAGAAGTTCTCAAAATGACGTTCGAAGAGTGTGTAGAGTTTTCATTGCAAAGTTGTCTTTTGTTTAATGAAAATCAGATTACTTGAAAGAAAAACAGCTTCAGACATTGAAAGCTTTGAGTTAAAGCACTCTTCACAGATTCTGCAGTAATAAAGATTACTAAAGGAGCGTAGCCTCTAACTCAATATTTTCCATAATTGAAGAATAAAACTTGAATATTGTTCAATATTCAACTTGTCATATTGAAGTGAAAAAAAAACCTATCCTACAAGACTAATCTGTAAGTTACTAACGATTGATTCACAAATTACAAAATAATTATAAAAAAACCGGTATAGAATGGACCAAGCAGACCCATACTAAGGTCATTCAATTTGGACTGTTCTCATATTTCACCAAACAAAATTGATTAGAAATTACAATAAATATTTTAAAAATTGAACATAAATCATTTTTTTAAGCCCATTTTCCTCTAGTTTAAAGTTTCAAAAAATAGAGCAATAAGGTATTTTACCATAGGTCGGGAAGAGATATTTCAATAATTTAATAAAAGTGATTTTGATAATTTTTATTAAACCATTTAATCAATTGATTACTCATTCTCAGTGAGATAAGATATGGTTAGAACTTAGACTGGTATTGGAATGGAGTTTGGTTTGGTGCATCCTGGGACAGGTACTAAAGCCCACCAGGGTTCCATTACAGTATCTTGACCCCCCTCAACTGAAACTGATAATGTTTGTAACTTTTACTTCATGAAATGTGGAAGTTATTAGTATTACTGCAGGGTTAAATTAAACTAGAGAAGAGATACTGATCAAGGTTTATTTGGTTTTTTTTCAAGATCTGTTCTATTTTTCTCTACAACATTCAGGGAAAAAACATTTGTCCAGTCTGTTGGTGCTTGTTTTAAGATCCTTTCACTTTGACCAAGCTACTGTCGTCTAGAACATTCCAGAAGAAAACTGTTCAAGTTTGATAATTCGATGAAAGTGAAGGCCGTCCAGTCTGTTGGTGGCTATTAACTCCATCTATACTGTATTACATGGGGGGTGGTGTGACTGGACCAGTTTCATCTAGACTGATCTTGATTAATTATTAGGTGACCTTATATGAATAATAATTCAATTCTTTATCTTTAAAAACATACAAATACATGCAGCACAAATGGAGGTTGGTGTTCTTTAACATCATTAGGTCTTTTAATATCCAACTCATTCCACGTGAATTTATTGTTTAACTTTTATGTGAATGGAGGAAAATTCATATTCAGGCATTTTAATTAGATTTAATTGCAATACTCATTTTAATTAAAGAACAGTTTTATCTTCCATGTGTAAATATGTGATTGGAATATGTGGTATTTAATAATTACCGGTAAATAAACTAACCTATATTTTACAAAATTTGTTAAATGAGTAGGGAGGATTGCCAGGTATCATTAAAACTTTGGAAATTATTATACTCAATCCCCATTTTGATTCAACAAAATTTTGATAGCAAACTGTAAGAATTGAATCCAAGAAAGGTTTTACTGTGTTTTACAATAGATTAACGCTTGAAAATTAATTTAGTATTGAAATAAATGAAAATATTATCTACTAAAATAATAGAAATATACATCAAACAAAAAAAGGATACACACATGGACATAATTATACAAAGATGCACAACTTTACAGAGACAAGAACGAATTGTATACAAAAGCTCCTAAACATTTTAAAATTACTATATTTTTATTCATCAGCAGTATTTTAAATTTTTGTAAATCATTCAGTTCATAAAAATTTGGTTCACGAACTACTAGAAAAGTTCTTTTTATTTTTCGTCATGTCTTCTGCAATTAAAGTTCAACAACCTTAATGTATTTCAGACTTGGTGTCTAATTTTCTTGTTCAGTGATGTGGTATAAAACTAGTTTAACACAACTGGTTTTAACTAATAATATTTTTGGTCATGCTTGAACATGGTGGCACGGATGTTACAAGAAAACCAATTTCTAAAGGAATGTAGGTCAGCCGTTATGACCTTCAGAATTAGAATGCACTTCACATCACTGAAAAGGGTATTTAAGACAGAGCTTAATGTCATTGATAACCATTGTAAATATTTCTTTCTTCCAGAACCATGGATGATCTCAGCGATTCTAGTAGTAGAACTAATAGTTTAGATGATCTTAAGAAAGACGATAAGATGAAAGAAAGAGAAAATTGGGGAGGAAAGTTGGATTTTATTCTGACTTGTATCGGATATGCCGTTGGTCTGGGTAACATCTGGAGATTTCCGTATCTTTGTTACAAAAGTGGAGGAGGTAAGGATTTATGTTAATGATTTATTTGAAACACAAAATATGAATTTTGCATGCAGAATGTTGCCCAGAGTGGGAAGGAGAAGATATGAACTTTTCCATAATTAGATTTGTTTAGAATATTTTGAAACGTCTGTCTCAGATTTTATGAAAAGGCAGTCTTCATACTATTCTTTAAAGATTTAATTTGAGAAACCATACCTGTAAAATGGCACTTAGAGACTTCTTTGAATTGAATCAAAATATGAATGTTTCTTTGATTAAAGATACATTATGTAAGATTTAGATAAAGAGCTAGCCATTCTTGCTATAAGTATAATAGTTCGAAAATAGATATTATAAAAGGAATAGCCTTTGAAGGTTTGACAAGATCTGTGCAATAATTTCAACCACCGTACTGGTTGTTCGATGTCTCGCTCGTCCATTTTTAGCTTAAATCAAAATATGACTGAACTGTTCTAATCTATTTAATATCGGAGAAATACGATGCCATCGAGAGTTGATTATGGCCTGGTTAAGTTAATTAATGTCTAATTAATAATTAAGATAACATTTCAGGACTATAGGCAGATTTAGCTCAGGGATGTAGCCATGCCGGGCACTATTTTTTGCTGCCCAGTACATAGAAAAAGTCGAAGAAAGCCGCCCAGTCGTATTTAAACCCCTTCGTCCTCTCTGTCCACAAACTCAGCGCTCGAAATTTACCATGACAAATGGCAAAGCCATGGTAAAAGCCGACGCAAACCATGTCTGCCACAGCATAATTTATTTTTGTGTGCCGTAGTAGACCCTATCATCCCAAATTAGTTTAAAGAAAGAAGTCTTGGTATTTTGTTTATTATATTTAGAAGTTGTGTAGGTCCATTCATTTTACAATTCTACGGTCTTTAAATTTGTATATTTGCCGTAAATAGGTCACCCAGACCAATTTATGACACTCCGATGTTAAAGGTTTGGATGTCGTAAATGGTGTTGTAATTCGTGAGACACAAGTCAAATAAAACAACGTGTTTTAACTATCAATATCTACCTGTTGTCATAATTCTTTGTACTCAGATAAAACACAAACACCGTTTTAAGAATCGTTTTAATTTTTAATCTCAAAGTAATAAAGTAATATTTGAAAAAAAATCCCCAAAAACTGATAAACATAGTGGGGTGGGGCAATTTTATGCTCGGTCGGTTGGTGTCAAAAAGTTTTTAGATCCCTGGCAAGAGTCTCTGTATCATTGACGAAAATTAAGTGAATTTGGTAAAAATTTGAATATATAAATGGAAATTTGATTTGCACTGAAGCAAATACAAAAGGCAGCAGATGCTCTGAAAATACATCAAGAAGGGTTGAATTTTCATAAAAGACCACGCCCCCCCCCCCCCTCCAAAATTTTTTTTTCCTCCCTTCACTCAGAAGCTATTTTTTCCAACACTCAGCAAATCCTGGCTACATTCCTGTTAGCTCTTGCATAATGCATGTTTAAATTTGATGCAATTATTTTTATTTTGATAAGATGGGTTTTCCTTCCAAATTTTAAGTCTGTACATGTAGGTTTAGCCAATATTTAATTCATTGGATATTACTAAATAACGCCCAGCCAAAAAACCTAATTTACTTGGTCTGACTTGCCTTTATGAACCTAAGTGACTATCTGGACCCATTTGACAAATTCCTGCTAATTAAAATGATGTGTATTAATTAGGAAATGATTATCTGAAGCATGATTGCTCAAACAAAATGGCAACATCAGAAGTCAAACAGAATAAGCTATGTACAGCAAATTTCACCTCAGGTTACTTAATCAGCTTAATTATGGATGACTAGTTCAAGAAACATTTATTAAAGTTCTATGTGTTGTCTAGAGAAAAGTCAGACGACAGGTTGTTAGGTTTACATTACTGTTGTCCATGTCATTTGACTAGAACAGTTTAATACCCTTTAAGATGGTCAAGAGACCTAGATATTATCTTAGTCAAGCACAAAATACATTCTTTGTGAGCTGATAAGTTTCAATGCAATTTAATGATATGCAGCATAGATATGGCAACGGCTGTTAGTTTTTTTTTCTGGCGTAAAAATTGTACATAATGGTGGTGATGGAAATAATGTGCCTTTCAAATATTCTTTATTGATAACAGTAATTTGAAAAAAAAACCCAAATCAATATTTGAAAAAATAAACAAATCAAAATTTGAAGCAATAAACCAAATCAAAATTTGAAAAAAAAATTACAAATGGCAGGTTAAAGACTATAGAACATCACAAAAAAATATAAACAATAATAATTATCAAAACTTGATGATATGAATAAATGATAATAGAATTGGAAAATACATAAATAATTACTGAAACAAAGAAAACAAATGATTGCCGAAACTAAAAAATTAATATATAAGTGATTAATAGGAACTCAAAGATAAAATTTAAGGATTTTCACTCTTCAATTGTATTATGAATGGTTTGATAAACAGGACTGTCACATCCTAATGTTGGGACTATTTTCAACTCAAACATTGTATTTCTTTAAAAAGTATCAGAATGTGGTCTGCAAAACTGATTTAGTCAAATCAAAATATATCTGTGAAAAAATGAAACATCACATGGTCTTTGTATCTGTGAAATAATGAAACATCACATGGTCTTTGTATCTGTGAAATAATGAAACATCACATGGTCTTTGTATCTGTGAAATAATGAAACATCACATGGTCTTTGTATCTGTGAAATAATGAAACATCACATGGTCTTTATATCTGGCAGTTAAGATTTATTGATTTGTATTTTAATTCCTAGTTCTTATTTCATTTATTGATTTATATTTTAATTCCTAGTTCTTATTTCATTTATTGATTTATATTTTAATTCCTAGTTCTTATTTCATTTATTGATTTATATTTTAATTCCTAGTTCTTATTTCATTTACAGAGTATTGATTATTTAAAAGTGCAATAATGAACTGTTAAATAATATATGTTTAAGAAATATGGCCTTCTGTTCCATTTTTACACAGATGAGATGACACTGATATATAACATTTTAAGCTTATTGTTCTTTTAAACCTGTAAATAATAACTTTATTCGTTCAAAATGCAACATTGAAAAATGTAATTCGAAATTACAACAATGAATGTGTCTTAATTTATTGCCTCGAAGCAACGGCTACAAAATCAGACCTATGATTAGTTAATTACATTTACAGTCAAATTACACCACTTTATCAGCCAGGAATATTGGTGTTTTATTTTATTAACATACGAGTATTGAAGCTGTAAACTTATTATTCAGAATACAATATGCCACATAAAAAATGTCTGTAGGTGAAGTCAATTAAATAGGAATGGAAGCGCTTATCGACCCTATTTCCGAAACCTGACAACCACCTCTGCTGTTAATTCTGGCTTCTGCTCACCCCTGAATAAAATATCAAAATCGCCAAAATTTTGAGATAAAGACTCTGCTGTAAAGTGTTTTACTATTATATTAGAAAATGTATCACAAATGATGCAACAAAAACTCAATCCAATTCGTAAGTCACATCTAGACTATATAATTTCAAGTCTTGGTTCTTGTGCAGGGTTAATAACTCAATCCAAACTATTATATCATTACTCCCCATATTGTGTAATCTGCATTAGTTACCTATTTCCTTGTGTTACCTGCATTGCTCATGTTCTGAGATAGAGTCTTTTCCTTGGTAATTATACAGTCAGTGATTTTATGTGTAAAGCATGTATACCTTTTTATAAGCCTGCATTGAAATGCGGTCATATATTGGTGTCATCTCTGTCTGTCAATTGGTCGGTCTTCCACAAGCAATAGAGGCTAAAGTTATCATCAGATTTATTTCAAGTGATTGTCACCGTTTTATGAAAATTGTTGTCAGAATTATGGCCCATGATTATTTTAAAAATCTTGTGGACGATCTAGACGCTAAAGTTATCAGGTGATTAACTTAAATTGATCTATATAATAAACTTTAATAAAACCAAAGCGATCCATTGTCATTTCAAAATTTGAGGAAGAGCTATTGAAATTACAGTTACACTGGGAGAATTCTGCTCCTTGCATGGACACTTATTCATATTAATAAAACTCTCAGAATGATCTAAAAGTCAGATGGTAGGGGCATTAATTAAACCACTCTCCATTATAATCTTAGGTTATGAACTTTGGTCTTTGGTCAAAACTGAAGTCAGATTTCGGATAATCCTAACAGATTAAATGACGATTCTTTTAGACCTTTGCCACCCTGTTTTGGCAAGATCTAGTTCTGTAATTAATACTGTATATATATGTTGTATGAATTAACCTATTTCTCTATTTATATAAATGTTTACTTGAAGTAGATGTGTTACAGATGGAGTCCACATGTTGACCAAGGTTATTTAAGAGTATCAAGTCACTGACCACATGTACTTAAAGTATTATTTATATATATTGACATATGCAAACAATACACCCTGTTTATCTTTGATAACACACCCTCACACACTTAAGAAAGTTAAGAGGGAGATAATAGAGCATAATATAGAAGATAATACTTCCTATCCAGAAGAGGATCATTTTAAAAGATAAACACTCTACCACTTTAAAAACAGTACCACCACTTCCCGCTTATCAAATTTGTAATTTTGCTAAACACATAAAACAAAGCCTATAAAACAAGTCAAGATCGCATAGATAACCAATTCAGTGGAAAAATTCTCAAAACAACAAAGCCCGTCGAATTTAAATAATTTCCATTAAGAATTTCTAGAGTTATGGCCCTTGTTTCACTTTGTAGAACCCCATGATTGTGCGATTGACAAAAGTTATCATCCGATCTGTATTAATTTGATATTAGTGTCTTGTAAATACTCTCATTACCTACAAAAGAATAGATATGTGACAACCCTTGTCGACTGCTCAGAGTTGCTTTGGGAATATATTTAAAATTGTTGCTTGGCAATCTTATCTTCAAAGGTCCATCCTCTAACGTATGTAATAAACTATAACATAAACTTATGTG